AAGGAGGGGGTAGGGCTATTAAAAAATATTTAAAGTTAAAGACTCATCGTAGTCTTATTACTCATCGTAATATAAATATACAGTTTTCTAGATAAAGTTTCTGGTTAGTTTTCTGGTGAGGATTTTAAACTTAAGCATTGTTTTTCCTGCTATAACTCCAGTTTTTAAAGATGGTTCTCATCATAACTCAGGAACTACTCCAACGATTTTTCTGAAACTTTCTAAACATATATTTTAAAACATTTTAAAGATAAAACTGGAAACTTTTTAGTTTTATAAATTTGTGAATAAGTATTTTTTTACATACTTAGTAAAAACATACTCAGAACCAATTTTTGGCCAATTTTTACAAATATTTCTAAAAATAGTCTATATATTTCTATATTTATATAGAATAGTTATATAGAATTTTATGTTTTTCTGTTTTTCATTCTAAAACCCATGGTACAGCCCCCTAGAGCCTCATCATACCTAAGAAACTACTCTACTGATTGTTCTAAAATTTATACCACAATATTTTTATGGCATTTTCTAAGTAACGCTGAAGAGTTTTGTGAATAAATATTTTTTTCCAACAGAAAATGTCCTATTTTTTGGGTAATTATTTTAAAGATTTATTTATGAGATTTCTTAAAAATATGCCAAGATATGTCTCATATTCGATTGTAAAAAAATAAAACTAGTTTACTAATAATTTTCCAATACTCTTCGCTTATTCTCTTCTGATCCCAACTAATGTTTTCAAAGTAGATTCCCATCATAGCTCAGAAACTACTCTACAGACTGTTCTGAAACTTGAAACTGTATTGTGGAACATAGTTTACAAAATAAACCTAGACTGTTTTTTATTTTCAAGATGTTACACTGATGAAAATAACCATTTTTTTCAAAATATTTTCAATAAATGATAAAAATACTTCTTTTTTTAAGAAAAAGTCACTAAAATATTTCATTTTTAATAAAAATTAAACCTATCACACCCTCAAAAATGCCTATTTTTAACCTAACTAATATTAAGTTTATTTCAAGCCATAAAAAATATATAATCTCCCTACTAAAAACATGGAACTACGAAATTCGACAGCAATTAGCATTTAAATATTCATTTATTTTGCAATTAGCACATTAGGGGTTTATCTCACGCACACACCTCTAGGGCCAGAGACAGACAGCCAGCGAGCCATCCAGCTAGTCAGCTTAGTTAGTTGAGAAGGGGCTCAGACCCAAGCAGCAATGCTAATTAATTCGCTTATGTAATGGACAGTCCCAACACAGGGCAACGGGAGGAGAGTGGTGGTGGTGGCGGGGGTAACCTTCTAATCGACACCAATAAATCGACACTCGAGTCAAGTGTGCGGGAACGGATGGACGGACGGCCGGACGGACGGACGAATGGAGGTTTTTCAATCAGATAAGCAGCATTTATAAATTAAAAGCGCAACAAAACAGATTAATAAAAGTTCAACTTTAACGGCACCTTATAAATAAGCCAAATGACTAATAATAAAATATGAAAGCGGGCACAAAGCCCCCAAAAACATCAAAGGCATCTCGGGGCTGTGTAACAAAAACACTCGGACGGGAAAAAGCAGACCATCCGGTAGCAGTTCATTTCGTGAGGCAGCTACCTTGAGTTTTCCTTTTTTTTTTATTAAATAGATTATTAGCACGTTATTTATTAATTAAACACTCCAACACTCCAGTACTCTAGTTGCTCTAATCTCATAATCTAAAGGCCTTGGCACAGAGAGAAAAAACGTAGTTAGTTCCTCTCCTTTAGCTGGCCCTAATGTCTGCCTTTTCTCTCAGTGTTTCGAGGTGGGTGTGGTGTTCAGATAAGCCCGAGTGCTAAACAAATGGAGAGATAAGAGCCCTGAAAGGTGCAAATTGCTTGGGAATTTCCTCGAAATCAATCTCTTCTTTCAGATCCAGGCACTTCATTGGAAGAGGTAGAGGTACATAGTTGTGTGTGTGTGGTATCGTGTTTCTGGTAATCCCTGATTGTCTGGTAATCCTGCCGCCACTGTCTCGCACCTCAATGAATAAATCATAAGGTTCTGGTGGGTTATAACCTAGCTTATACAACTAATTTACGGCTGTTTTGTCATTTAAACAATATATCACACTGGCCTGCAAACAATAAAGCACTCAACTTCCTGGCATTCCATAAACAAATCTTCCATTTAAGCCATAAACTAGTTGGCTGTAATCGCCCTAAAAAGGGGGGAACTCATTAGCAATAACTATATGGGATCTGTTTGAAATACGAGCAGTAGCCTCCTCCAATAGTTTTCTCCATTAACCCGGAAAGGGATCATCCTCATCATCAGCAAAGTCTCAAATTAAGCAAACAAATGCAAAGTAATTAAATGTATTTGGATATAAGAGCTCACCATGAATCCAGGGATGATGTGCTCGAGTCCTGGGGGGGAGAGGAGGGGGACGGTTCCTTGAGTCCCGAAGTGTAACTCCAGACTCCAGATACTCTGGTTTCCTCCAGTTGCCAGACTCTAAAAAGACGCTCCAAGACTGGAATATGTTTTCTGGGTCGATGGCGGTGATGGCGAGGGTGGTGGTGGTGGTGGGGACTGCTGCCTGGTTCCTGTTGCTACTGATGGTATTATTATTGTTGTTGTTGTTGTTGTTACTCAGCGAGGGGGCAGCAAGCGGCCGGAAATGTATATTTTGGTTAATTTGCACAAACACAGCTGGAAGGCGATGGAAAGAAAATGACGTAGGTGAGAGACGATCCAAACAAGTTTTAAGAAAAAAAAATAAATAAAAATAAAAAATAAAAACAATAATATTTAAAAGAATTAATGGAGCAAGAACCCCATTAATGGCTTATGGCCTATTAAGGTCATTATTAAGTAGCTATACCTCATAGTTTTAAATAATTTTACTAAACTTAATCATAATTTATTTATTTTTTTTTTTTAATAAATATTTTCCCATCAACGTCAGCGGGCGGGAAACAGTTACGGGGGAAGGGGGTGGACCTGGTTGGTCAGGAGCATCCTTGGAGGGTGGCCAGGAATGAGAAACGCAGGCAGAGCAGAGCAGCGTCGGTGGTGCGGTCGGTGATGAGGTGGTGACGCCGACGACTGCGACGCAACAACGGTGGTGGGTTGTTGCCTTAGTTCTGCTTCTTCTTCTCCTTCTTCTAGCTGTTGTTGTTGTTGTTGTTTTTTGTATTGTTGTTGCTGACGCTGCTATTGTTGTTGCTGCGCTTGCGATTCCTTTTCAGCAAATTTGTTGAGCCTTCTCGTTCTTCGTTTGCATTGTTCTACCCCCCAAAATTAAAAAAAAAAAAAAGTTCATAATAGACTCCCCACTTTTTCAGTGATTTTCTGGTGATACCCCCCTTCTATCGCTCTCTCGCTCTGCCCTTCTTTGGCGTCGCATAAATTTAAATGATTTGCACGCTGCGCAACTTTGGAAATTAAATTAGTAACACACTTAGTAATAATTAATTTTCGCACACTTGTTGTAGATTTTTCCTTACGTTTTTGGGTTGCTTCTTCTTGATGTCGTTGTTGTTGTCGTTTTTGTTACTGTTGCTCTAACTGATGTTGTTGTTGGGCGCGTGAAACTCGTCGTCGTTTTTTTTTTTTTTCTTCTTTTTTTAATACTCTTCTGTTTTCAGTTTCTCTTCTTCTTTTTTTTTGCATACACTTTGCGCACACACACACACACACACGCACACACACAGACAGAGCAACGGACACTCACACACACTCATACACAGGCACGCACTTTTGGCTGCTTGCTTGCGTTTTTTATTGCTTTTTCACTCGATTCGTGCACAGTTCGCGGGGGCTTTCGCGTGCGTTTTCCAGCCACCAGCTGCAGCCAGCGGCGTTGCAAGCGTTTTCACCAACAATTGGGGCTATTTTCTTGGCTAAAATGCGTGCTTTTTAGCTCGATTTACAACAATTTCTCCGCGCTCCGCAAAAAGAAGCCACCATTTTGTAAAACTTTGTAAAGTACGGTAGCACTGCAGGGACCAGGGTGGCCACTCTGCTAAGGATATGGCCTAAAAAAGCCAGCAAAACGGTGGCGTAGCAGATGGCTTCTGTCAGTCTGCAAAATATTAATTCACAAAATAGAAAATATTTAATAATAATAATTAAAAATAATTAGGTTATAACTAAAATTACAAGCTAATTTATGACTAAAGCCATAGCGACAAGGTCTTACTTATAGTGATAGGAATAAGGTACCTATGTAGTTATTAGATTTGTTGTTTGTGTTTATGAAATATGTTGCTTATAAATGTACAAATTAAACTATAAATTATATTAGGTTATATGTTCTTGTTTGCTTAAGAAATGGAATGATTTTATTAAAGGATTTATTGTGGGAAAGGATATTGATGATTTAAGATCGTCGTTTTGGATTTCCAATGGATGTGAACTTGGGGCAGTCGCTTTTAGTCGGGTTTTTATTGTGTTGTTCAAATAGAAAATATATAAATTGAAAATATATGGAATAATAAACTGTTAAAAGTTGTAAAATTTATGCCTTTTTTTCTCTCTTCTCATATACAAATAATTGATGGCTGGTATATAAATATTTTCCCTCCATAAATAGTTTTGGAGATACTTGGTATTTAAATACAGAATAATGCTCTCAAAAATTATTATTGTTCAAAATTAATTTACCAAATAAGTACCAAGAAAACTAAGAAATATAATTTGGGTTTAATTAATTTATTTATTACTTGGATAAATATTAAGAGAAAAGGCTAAAAATAAAAGGTGGCATCGCTGTTAACCGTGTTTAGAGGGAAATAATTTCTTTCTGGTTTTCCCCTTGAATTTTTGCAGTTTTTTGGCTTTTTGGGTTGAAGATGAGTATTTTCTTTTCTTTTACGAATTAATGCAATAAAAAACCAGTTAAAGCGTTTTTTATAATTAAATTTTTTTCTAATTTAGGGAAATATTCTAGGGATTTTTTAGGGGAAATCCCATTTGCCACTTTTCAACACTGTTGGGGATTTCAAAACGTTACCTGGCAACACTAGCATTAACAACTGATTAAAATCGGGTGTCGCTATTATTTTTTAAAACAAACGGAAAGAGGCGCGACGACGGACCGAATTTCAATCAAATTCTGTGTGAAAAGGCGCGCAATCCAAACGACTACCGCTGGTATTTAAAATAACCCAACCGACTGAAGGAATACAATCCATATCCAGGAATCCTGAAGATGTGCGACGAAGCCGCCACCGAAACTCTGGAGCATCCAGGTACCACAAGCCAAGCAACAACTTTTCTGTTTACACGATTCATTTGCATAGCCATTAACTGGGGTACTAATAGCCAGGGCCCACAAGGCCCCACCGCCCGAGCGTTAAAAGACCATTAACCAAAGCCGGTGGCTGGAAATTAAGGAGTTGATGCGGAAGGCGCGGGCTCCATGGCTTTGATTTAATTTTCAATTTGATTATAATTGCAAAAATATATATATAAATATATATTGCGACGAATTTAGACTGCCAGTCAGCCAACTCGAGTTGGCATTTGACCTTTTTTGGGATTCAGAAGGCAGCTGCATTTCGGATAAGAGACTCCTGCAACTGCTGTCCTGTTTACACTGCGAGAAATAGTCATCATCTACTCATAAAGCACATTCCCATGTTAAATAATAAGCTAATCATAAGAATGCCTCATTGTCTCATGTATATATGTACTTTCCCCCCTACCTAAGAACCTAAAATAGTTTTCCGTGCACCTCCCTTACGGTCTCATCCACCTCGCCTGGGCATTGTTGTTCTTTGGCCCTCTTCCTGACTTTCTGCCGCAATATTAAAAATAATATTTGTTCATGGCCAATGCTAAGCCAATTTTCCACATACCCCCCCATCACTTGACATTTTCCGGACGGAATCGGAATCGGAATTCCCGTGACTTGAATGGGTTCGGTTGCTTATCTTTTTGCGGCACTCGCCTCGAATATTATCAGTTTTTGGCACTTGCGCTGAGCCATCTTGTAGGAGCCTTCTTAAATTGTCGTAGATTAATTTTTAATTTACGATCCTCAAGCTGCCAGAAGCTAATGAATTGTGTGTCATAAATACATAGAGAAAGTACAAATAATAATTCGCATACATTTTCATCCATTAGAGGGGGTTATCTCTAGTCGAGGCCGGTTTCAAGTGCCCAATTAGGTGGGTGGCTAAAAATATAAACTCAGAGCTGAACAAAGGTTGATTTATTAGCAATTTGCATTCAACATTTCCATGCACTCGTATAGTATTTTCTTATAATTTTTATTACGATTTATGGGGTAGCCTTAACCCCCTAAAAGTCGATCTCATATCCATGCAAATTGGCTCGAGTTAGCACTTGTTAGTACAATATTTGCCAACAATTCCACCCCCCAACCCGAGTGTAGGGGGGGAACTAATTAAATTGCATAGAACCTCGGGTTTCTGTTATTGTAATCTCTTTCATTGTTTTGTTTTAAAATGTGATATGCAATTGTGTAATGCACACGACTTGGGGATCTATTTATAGAGCTGGGGGACTGTCGGTTGACGTTGGAACATTGTTTGGCCTCGCTGGTTGAAAGAGCAGTCCCGGATCTACCTACCCCCCTTCGGGAAACCCCTGAAAACATGAGGTGTTCATCATGATTGATATTTGTGTCGTTGGGGCACGGATACATTTTTCGAATTTAAAAAAACATATTACAATTGTGTCCGAGAGCATGTTTACAAATATATTGTTTCTAGATTTATTTGCATTTCGCTATATACGATTTGGCACGTATTGCCAACCCACCACATTGGGGAGGAATTAGGTATAACAATTCCGGTGGCAATTCCGGTTGGCATCTGAATTAGTTATGAGGCAGACCCACAAGTACAACAGCTCTGGTCAAAGTCAAATTCAATAATTGAGGGCTTAAAGTAGTTATTTTTAAAGAATAGAGCTTCTGGCCTTAATAGGAGACATTCATTAAACGAGCCAATTGAAAGACAATTGAAAGTCCAATCTGTCAGATATATATCACAGATCAGTTATCTATGAAATATAAATATTTGAGAGATGAAATCCCAAAAACTCATAGCTTGAATTTCAAGCAATAACAATTGATTGTAAAATTCCATTAATGGTTAATCAATGCTGATTGCTGGGGAGGCTCACGTGAGAGTACTGCCTGTCTTCTGGGGAGTCTAGGGAGCGTGACTCTGTGAAAAATTTCATTTTTTTTTTTTTATAAAAATAACATTTCAACGTTACTTCCGCGGGTCGGGTGTTGGGTCGGGGATGGAAGCCTCCATTGTTGGGTCGGGTTTAAGCAGATTAAGCTGGATTACAATAAATTGCTTACATACAGCGAAAGAAGAACCGGAAAATTGCTTCAATTTCGCACTCAACAGCAGAAAAGATACAATATTTTAAAGTAGAACCCAAAGAACATAAAAATCTTGTCGACATTTCCTGCAAATTAAATTGCAAAATTGAATTATGGGAATATGCTGAGCAGACATATGGCCAAAATAAACAAAACAAATAATAAAAAATTAAAAATACTTTGTTATCAAAAGAATATATATATTTTTAAGAATTTCTTTAAAGTCCAATTCGAGGCACTGCCCGACCGTTTGTTTTCCACATCGGATGTGGAAATATTTTCGCCAAAAATACAACAAACTTTCCCCACATTGGGGAACTGCTGTTTCAATAGGTTGCCATGGGTTCTATTTTTAACAAAGACACGACTTTTTTTTCGGGGCCATAAAATACAATCTTACGGCATATAATCGTCTTTGGAAGCAATCGCACTGGCCTGGTGATTAAGTATTTAGTTATTTTTGATTTAAAGCCCGATTGGAAGCTTGTTAGGTTGTCAGCGATTTGCTAATTTAATTCCCAAACACAAAATCTTAACTAAAACATGCCAGTCATTAGCGGAATCTAATTTTAATTGTGGTTAGTACATGACTCTAATTAATGAAGTGAAGTGGTCATCTGATGCGACATTTGAGGTATTGTGGGTTTGGATTAAATTGAAATTAAAGCTACATATCGGATTTTGGGGTTTATTAAGTGCTAGTAACTATAGTTAGTTCTTTAATTTATTCCAAAATTTTTTCCCCATTCATCTTCCACGAAATCACCAAATCACAGACGCGTAGGATGACAATAATGTCGAGGGGAAGTGCACGCCTTTTCCCAATTGACCCAATTTTAATGCAATTTAAGCCCTGAGGCAAGACTCAAGTTTCCCGATTCATTCATTCTACCGGGGGGAGGGTAAGGTGCAGGGCGAATGGCAGGGGCAATTGGCCCGCTGTGGACGCGTTTAATTACACGCTTACACGCAATTTCCGTAGCCGACTCCGGCTGGGGTTGGGGAGGAAGTGTACACGAGGCGGGGTCGAGACTTCTGTTTGCTCGCCGGTTTGTTTATCTCGAAATACTTATGTTTATTATGGCAATTTTACTCGATTTTACCTGTCTGGCTATATAGGCATAGTGGGTTTGTTTGTGCCCATAAAGTTCCTCTGATGTTGCGACCTATTCCCTAGAATTTCAACATCATGTTGGAATTAAATTTGCAAAATATGCGAATGACTTTACTGAATGAGGAAAGTCCTTAATTAGCAGGAAATGACTTGGTAGATCACCCTTCTTTAATACCCTTTCTTTTTCTTACTTTTCAGATCACCATGTCCACTTCGATGCCGCCACATTGAAGGACGACTTCGAATCGGACAGCTGTGTGACATATCAGAGGTCGGGCGACACGATCGTGGTTAGCCTGGGCTTCCTCCAAATTAATCATCGCTACCTGATCGACCTCAAGCTGCCCACATCCCTGTTCGGCGACGCCAAGACCCTGGCCAGCAAGTTCGAGCCGGTGGTCAGTGCCACACCGAATCTGCACTGCCGGATCACAGAGTTTGCCGGCACCAAGCACGACGAGCACGACTTTTTCGAGATGAAGATCGAGTTCTTTGCCTACAAGGAGAAGCTGCTGCGCGAGGTCTTGCACATAGTCAGCTCCAGCAATGCCAAGGAGCTGCTGCAGCTGGTGATCGCTGCTCGGGTGCTGGGCAAGGGCAAGGGAACGCCCATGCTGCGCACTGGCATCCACTGCATCGGTGTGGAGCGGGACGAGGATGAGTCAGAGGCTTCGGACTTTGCCGGATTCGATAGCAGCAAGCCTTAAGGAGGTGGAGGAGTCATGCCTTGCCGCAATTTGTTTTCCTAGTTAATTGCAAATATTTACATAGTTTTTAAGTGAGAAAGAAGGAAAGTGGAGAGAATAATATGTAAAAGTTAGTTATTACCTACATAGAGCAACCAATTGTGTATGTAAACTTCATTGAGCATTTACGCTTAGGTTTCGGTTTCAGTTTCGGTTTCGGATTCACTTTCTGTTTCTGTACTTAACAATTGTCAAGCATGCGGGCAAGTTGCCAGGAATTCCCATCACAATTGTAATGTTTACGTGATTGTTACTAATTGGCCAAGAACTTGACGTTTGTAAACAAAATTTCATGAACAGTTTGTGACCCAATTACCTGATTTTCACAATAATTAGTATTTTCTTGTTCAAGACCTTAGTTCTAGATCGTTTCTTTTGTCAACTGCACTGTACATACCTTATATCTTTAATCTCCAATGCAATGTATTTAAAGTTAATCCAAAATGTAAACTCGATGTAACAGAGACCAAGCTGCGGCCCATCCTGGCAATACTGAATGCCTAAAAGTATGCAAGACCAGACGCAATTTAATATATAAAGAATTCAAGGTGCTAATCGATGCATTATCTAAACGGATATTTAACCTTTTTGACTAAAATTAGCCCTTCCCATATTGGGCCTTTTGATAACCTATTCAAGCATTGTGAAAAGTATAAATAACAAAAACAGCACCGTAACCAATTAATTAGATTTTGTAAATTAAAAATCCAACAAATTGGAGCTCAATTCATAAAACAATAAACAGTATACAAGCTAAGTTTATTTCAAGTAGGCAGTGCCCCAAAAAAATAAATTTAATTTTAATAAAATTTGTTAGACCCTAAAAGTGTAGTTTCTTATGAGAGTGAGCTTTTTTTTTTTGGATAAAGAATACAAAATGTTAGAAGGTGAAGAGCCGATGGACTGTTCGGAGGATAAAGAGCAGGAGAAGCCAAAACTGAAGCTAATGGATCTGCCAATTAATATCCTACAAAGTATCATTTCCAAGGTGGACTGTCACCACCAGAAGTACCTCCGAAATGTCTCCCAGGGCATGCGTGAGCTTCACACTGACCACATGCTGCGTCATCACCAGATCTTTGTGCGGGCTCATCAGGCGAAAAGCGAGGAGAGTGAAGAGGCTCTTAGAGCAAGAACCATGCTGGAGGTGAGTTTTATTTCATTTAATATTCCACATAATATTAATAGAGTTTTCTATTTCAGACTCTTGCGTATGCCATCAGTATTTATCGCAGCTTGGGTTTTGAAAACTATTTCGTCAACAGCCTCATGCACTTTTACGAAGATCTGAAGGTGAAATATCGTGAAGCAGATGGAGATCCACAATCCCAACATATGACTCGATTCATCAAACAGTTTCTGAACAGCTTGGAACGTCCATACCTCCACGGGGTACCAGCCAACAAGACGCAGCAGTTTCACGAATTGAGATTACTCTACACCTTGTCATTGTTTAAGATTGTGCGGGTAAGATATAGAGAGTATAATACAAGTAGTATGGATTTTCTAATCATTATTATCTATTAGAAATTCCGAGAGTTTCGTATTACTAGCTGGCGCATGAACCTCATGCATTGGCACCTCCAGATCGAGGTGAGCAGTATGTTTTTGGGAGTGATTATGCAACGGAGGAGTGAGCCTCCTAACCAGGTCAAGCGAAATGACTTTATGGCCATGATGGCGGAGCTACTATATTACGACACTCAGCGAAGGAGATTCACGTAAAACTTCTTTATTAATTACTGTTTTAAATTGTTAATTGATGATCTATTTTTTCAGCGGATTCAAGGACGCTGGCAACGTTATCTACACATATGGTTTGCGACCTGACCCTGCAACAAGGCACAGTTACATGGTCCTCAAGTTCGTTGTCTTGGCCCCGAAGAGAATCCTTCGGATTTTGCAGAACGCCATAACCGGAAAGTGTGATACCCTTTCGCCCAATAGTATCCCCCCTTGCTCGGCATTTAGTATGCGTTTGGAGGCGTACTCTAAACCTGGTAATCGTTTCAATAGTTTACCGATAAAAATTTCAGTTTTGGAGACTACTGATACGGCATAGGCTAGATTAGCATACCTATAGTTTGATATTAGTTTTAAAATGTGATCTCCAAATTTTAGTCCAACAGAAAGTATCAAAATGTTTCGAAAAAAAAAACTGACAAAAATTATCTATTGGTTTTAGATTAGGCTTTTAGGAAGTAACTATTTAAAATTATTTTGTAACAATTGTAGAAAAGGCATGTCCTACTACCACGGCTACTAATCGGCTTATCTGATTTGTCTATAAAGCCGATTAATAAATCTCTTTGTATTATAATCTGTGTATTTTAAAAATGAACAAACATACATATCTCTATTTTAACCAATACTTCGTTTTCGCGTTTTCGATTGAATAAGATTCGATTCGTTTGCAATTCTCGTCTTAAGAATTCTCCTAAGAGATATATTTCACTCTTAATATTTCTCTTAAGAAAACAAGGGAAGAGGCGGCGGTTTGGTTTTCGCGGCTTGGAACCACGATCAACCATTCATTCTCGTGTTGCCCACTGGAAACGACGTGTCTGGAGAACCTTATTAAAAATTTAATAAATTTAACCAAAGCGTTTAAAATGTTTACCTATGAGGATCATAAAGTATTATTTTGGGCCGTCAACATAATTTTTTTTTCGGCTGTAATCATTATTCCTGTGATTTACATATTTTTTATAGAGGGGTGATGTACGAGTATACTAATGTAAAAAATAAAATGTGAGTGAAAAATAATTTATTTAAAAGAAATACATACCTTTATAACAGTGACGCCGGAATCTTCTAGAAATTTGTAATAAAGTGCAGTGCCCTCACCTTGGCTCATTCCTGCGTTTCTGACGTAGGGTTTTTCGTTTTCTGGGGAATCCCCTTATATAAACATACTTTTTTCGTATTATTTCAGAGCTTGGTGATCACCTCACAACGCCAATATAAATTTCGCAATATTACACAATCGATTTATGACAACTATGTATGGTATACCTGATGCATTTTATACTCAATTGGCTCTATGCGGGAATATGATCGAGTTACAAATAAATAAAATGAATTGAGAAAAAGAAAAATGCTTTTTTTTTTGCGGTTGGGCGAATGTTTTGGTTTTGTTTGTTGTTTGAGTGATTTGTAACTACAGTGTATCTTATTTGAGTTTAATATCTGATATGGATAAGTGCACTTGAGGAAAGTCAGTTCATTGCTATATAGATTGTTTATTTTAAATAACACTCATCATAACTTTCACAATGAAAGGTGTGGGAGGGGCATCGCCATCGATTGTTGGCCTTTTAAGCGATAATTAAAATGCCTCAATTTATTGCCGTGTTCCCGACACACACACAGCATATTTTCAAGCAATAATAGCCATTTAATAAATATGCTCAATCAATGCCACCCAGCCACCCTCTGCCGAGCACCTCCACAAAATATAATGAAAAGAATTGCGGGTAAAAAATATTTGCTTAATTAAAGTAATTATGGTTTCATATTTCATGCTGCAATGCTCGAACCTGTAGCTGGACCAGGACTACGAGTCCAGGAGTCCTCTCTCTGGCCGGTAATTACGTTTTGTCATAAATTTAACATTTATTTTAAAATGTCATTAAGTGCTTAACATGCAGGCGCTTTCTCAGTCTCACCATCCCACCGACGCTTGTTCATCCATTGGATTACCCACTTCCTTGATGGCTTGGCATCATTCAAGTGGCCAAAAAACAAGGACCACTGCTTCTGTTGGATCCTTGGTCAGATGTTCAGATACAAAAATGGGTTTTAAAAAAGGGTCTTTAAACAATTTTTAGTTGGTATCTCATTAAAAAGCTTATATTATTAGGAATTCTATTAACGCAATCAAGAAATACAATCCATATAGCACCTTGAAAGCTTTGCTTTTCTTTCAGTGCAGCCTGCAAATGAATGTGGCATGCAACAAACGTAGAAGCATAAAAAATGGTTGCCACAGAAGTCGGAGGAGAAGTATAAAATGTGACAAGAGAATCCAACACCGAAATGAATAATGTAAATACGCCAAGTGTGCAAAGTTTTAATTGTTATCATGTTTTGTTTGAGCGTTGTTCCCTCTCCCTCTTGCTATATCCATCTCTTTCTCTGCCCCTTTCTCTGTTCCTGTCTCCTGTCTGTGGCACTTATGCCTCCTGCCAAGATGCATCCATTTACGCTCGGCCAAGTTTTACGTTGCGCATACGACACATTGGTCTAGGATTGTCCTCTCCTATGTATGTATGGGGGAATGCTATGGTATATGGCACGGCATGGTATGTGTCCCGACTGAGTGGCTTGCGGCAGCAGAAAAGTTTCCATTTTGCATATGTGCCTCGAGGCTCTCGAGCTCTGTCATTTCGCTACCCCAACTTGAATATTTGGATTTTGGGGGAATTTTTAATCCACGTTTTATTTGCTGCACATACGAGTATAAAAACTACTTTTTAAATCAAACTCCTTTGTTGCGGGATTTGAGGAGGGCTTGCTAGTTTAAAAGCTTTATGCTTGAAAAATAGACTTTGCGTAGTACTTTCTAATATAATTTGTTACTTTGTAATATCTGGTATTAAGATGGTTTATAGTTCTTAAGCTTATCAAGTTCCCATACCGCTCTTTCAAGAAATTTTAGAAAGAAATAGGGAAACAGACGTATTGACTTACTTTAGCACGACTTACATTTTAAGAATCGGAAGAAAATTGGCAAAGATATAGGCATTGTTTCACGACATAGAATAAGATCCTGTATTTCGCAGGGGACTGATCATTAATCGACCCCTTAATCGTTTAAGGTATTCCGCTTTATGATCGGATGAAAATTGTGAAAGATATAGACATTTTTTGACGGCATGGACGAATATCCTGTATTTCGCAGGGGTCTGATCAGGAAAAATTTGAAAAAATCTATCGAAAATTTTGTTGTGAGGTTTTGATGCAGATTGATGGAAAATCGACCCCTTAATCGTTTAAGCTATTCCGCTTTATGATCGGATGAAAATTGTGAAAGATATAGACATTTTTTGACGGCATGGACGAATATCCTGTATTTCGCAGGGGTCTGATCAGGAAAAATTTGAAAAAAATCTATCGAAAATTTTGTTGTGAGGTTTTGATGCAGATTGATGGAAAATCGACCCCTTAATCGTTTAAGGTATTCCGCTTTATGATCGGATGAAAATTGTGAAAGATATAGACATTTTTTGACGGCATGGACGAATATCCTGTATTTCGCAGGGGTCTGATCAGGAAAAATTTGAAAAAATTCAATCGAAAATTTTGTTGTGAGGTTTTTATGCAGATTGGTGGAAAATCGACCCCTTAATCGTTTAAGGTATTCCGCTTTATGATCGGATGAAAATTGGGAAAGATATAGACATTGTTTGACCACATAGATGAAGATCCTGTATTTCGCAGTGGTCTGATCAGGAAAAATTTGAAAAAATTCGATCGAAAATTTTGTTGTTAGGTTTTTATGCAGATTGATGGAAAATCGACCCCTTAATCGTTTAAGGTATTCCGCTTTATGATCGGATGAAAATTGTGAAAGAAATAGACATTTTATGACGGCATGGACGAATATCCTGTATTTCGCAGGGGTCTGATCAGGAAAAATTTGAAAAAATTCAATCGAAAATTTTGTTGTGAGGTTTTTATGCAGATTGGTGGAAAATCGACCCCTTAATCGTTTAAGGTATTCCGGTTTATGATCGGATGAAAATTGGGAAAGATATAGACATTGTTTGACGGCATGGACGAATATCCTGTATTTCGCAGGGGTCTGATCAGGAAAAATTTGAAAAAATTCAATCGAAAATTTTGTTGTGAGGTTTTTATGCAGATTGGTGGAAAATCGACCCCTTAATCGTTTAAGGTATTCCGCTTTATGATCGGATGAAAATTGTGAAAGATATAGACATTTTTTGACGGCATGGACGAATATCCTGTATTTCGCAGGGGTCTGATCAGGAAAAATTTGAAAAAATTCAATCGAAAATTTTGTTGTGAGGTTTTTATGCAGATTGGTGGAAAATCGACCCCTTAATCGTTTAAGGTATTCCGCTTTATGATCGGATGAAAATTGTGAAAGATATAGACATTTTTTGACGGCATGGACGAATATCCTGTATTTCGCAGGGGTCTGATCAGGAAAAATTTGAAAAAATTCAATCGAAAATTTTGTTGTGAGGTTTTTATGCAGATTGGTGGAAAATCGACCCCTTAATCGTTTAAGGTATTCCGCTTTATGATCGGATGAAAATTGTGAAAGATATAGACATTTTTTGACGGCATGGACGAATATCCTGTATTTCGCAGGGGTCTGATCAGGAAAAATTTGAAAAAAATCCATCGAAAATGTTCCTGTTAGGCTATTATGCCAATTACCAGGAAATTACACTATAAATCGAATAAGATATGGTCTTTAAGAATCGGATGAGTGACAGTCGAGATACATTCAAGCTGCTTCTGAAAAAAAGTTGCAAGGCACTCACTTTCAGAAGATTTCTCGCTCACTTGTTTATAATTACTTTGTAAACAAACAGAGCTTAGGATTTCCTTAATTTGTCGAGAATAATAACAACGGCAAGAAATCGAATGAGTCGGATAAAAAGAAACGATTTTCAAGACCAGCTTTGACAAATGTTTTCGTATCTTAATAGCTTGCTATCTGGTTTACTTTAATTTCATACAATTATTTAAGTTTTCCCAAAAGCCTTCAGTCTGGAGATTAAAATAGTAATACTTTTGTGGCATCTTGTGAAATATTCACACACTTATTACTTACAGCTTGTGGTGCAATTTTAATCAAACATTTTCCCCTTCCACCGATCCCTACCCGTTTGAATAATTTAAAGACATCTTGTTTAATTTCAAAGATTTTTCTTTGAGCATTTAAGGCATTTATGTGGCTATTAAAGTTTAAAAATGTTTCATTTGCAGTTGATTTGCATAAATATTTAAACTTGTTTAGCTTGCATAAGCATTTTTGTCGAGATCGAGACTGACTTTTGCAATGAAAATCCAGAATACAGCATG